TTTTGTGGGGGGCGCCTCTCTCTCGCACCCCCCAGCCAATAAGAAACAGTTGGGCGGAGCTAGCTGTCACTGCTAGCTCCACCCAATTGTTTCTTTCTTTTTTTAATTTTGTTTTTCTTTTTTTCATTGATCCTTATTTTTGTTTTCTTTTTTCAATTATCTTTATTTTTGTTTTTATGTTTTCAATAATCTTTTTTTTGGGGGGAAATCTTTATTTATTTATCAACATTGATCATGTATTTACCTTTGGCAAAAGTTTTTTTTCTACGTTTTTTTTTCCAACTTTTTTCATTGTTTTACTATTCTGCTTGGTACCACGGAGGTACCAAGCAGAATACCCGAGCCGAATGCATTCGGCTATTCACTCACTGCCGTTCGGCCCCTAAGAGAATAGGCCGAACGGCAGTGAGTAGCCTGCGGGAGGTTCGGCTCAGCCGATCCATATGTTGGATCGGCTGAGTCGAACTCCTTCTGCACTTTGGGCCGGCCGAACATGCGGTGCATGTTCGGCTGACCCGAAGCAAGTCAATGTACAGCTGATTTCCGCCCCGGTTGCTATGGCTATTTTTCCGCCACTGGCCCCTCCTAACATTTCATAGAGTTAAAAGCAAAAATAATTGTTACCCTTAAAATCCCTTAAATTGCAAGTAAAAGCAATTGAAACTGCAAAAAAGCATTTTTTTTTTTTTTTTTTTAGCTTATGCTATGTGAATAGGAACATCTAACATATATAAAATAGGTGTTATCCCAATTTGGCTTTGAAAGTGGAAATATACTTTAAGTTACTTAGCATGCGCAGTAACTCAAAAAGGTACCTTTGCATACCAGGAAGTGCTCTGCTATTTTTAAGAAAGACCTTTAGGACAAAAAGGTACAATTTTCCAGGTACTGCTTAGGCACCTTTAACATTTCTAAGTGTTTCCCAAAACATATAAATCTTAATTTTTTTAATGCTCAAGTCTACTTTAATAAGGAAAGAGGATGGATTAAGGTGTATGAGTTATAATTGCTAGGGTATGATCCTGACACTCATTAGAACAAGACACTTGGATCAGTGGTTAAAGCGGAAACTCCAGGCACAGGGTTATTTTAATTTCTGGCTTGCATTCATTTGATTCATGGAATACATAGCGTCCTCTGAATAACCAAGGGGAGATTAAAGCACACTAGTGCTGCTGAGCCGCAGGTTTCACATTCACGGTGGGCCGGAAGTACAGCAGAAGCTGTGATATCAGGCAGAAAGAAAAGTAGTGATTTTAAAATACAGAACAGTGATTCGGCTATAGCATATACTTCTGCAGAGCATTTGTATGCTCCAAACATGTTCAACATTAGAGAACAAGTCCAGTTATATGCGACTAGCTACTACAAGATAAGCCATGACCTGAAAAGGTGAAAACCTTCAGAAACAATAGGAGAAAAGCCAGCTTTAATTAACATTTCAGTGTTTGCAAAAGGCGCAGTAGTTTAGTAGCTTAAATGTCAAAAGTAACTTCAGGGTAAAACTTTTAAAAGCTGACTGCAATCAATCAACCATTGAATGTTTTCAAGACTAAAGTTCCATCGTCTGGCAAACCAAATGATCTCCCAGTCTTACATTTAATATTTTGCTCATAGACATACAAATGTCTGCTGTTTGTTCTACAAGTAATATGGCACCACAGTGCTTGAACTAAACTCATAGCCTACAGCCTTCTACGTAATGTAGGAAAAATGTATTTATTACTATTAGTAGATAGCATCTGACATATGGTATTGTGCTGCTGTAAGTAAGGGGTCTATTCACAAAGCTGCCGAGGGCAGCCGAGTGAATGACCGATCAGAAGTGAAGTGAGCCGAACACCGTTTGGCTATTCACTTCAGGCTGGTACGGCTGATTTCAGACGTATATCGGCTGAAATCAGCCGTACATCGGCTTGCTTCGTGTGGCTTCGGATCAGCCGAACATGCTCAGCATGTTCGGCTGACCCGAAGTGCAGAAGGAGTTCGACTCAGCCGATCCAACATCTGGATCGGCTGAGCCGAACCTCCGGCAGGCTTCACACTGCTGTTCGGGCTATTCTGAAAGATCCCGAACAGCAGTGAGAGAATAGCCGAATGCCGCCGAGCGGCATTTGGCTCGGCTGTTCTGCTCGGTCCCTCAGAGGCACC